CCCCAAAACCCCAAAACCCCAAAACCCCATTAGTATTAAAATTTATTGAGTAAGGTTTAAGTGTGTGGATTTTAGGGGATTGAGGGGTTAATCTTGGGAAATTCCGATGGAGTTTATTGTGGAGGATCTGAGGGGGAATTTGGGGATTTGGTAGAGGCCGATCCATATAAGGGATTTTTGGAGGGGAGAATGGCAGATTTTGGTGATGAAGTTTTTCCATGCTTTGGATTGGAATTTTGTATTGGTTAGTTTGCATTCATGGAAAGAAATATGCTCTATTTGTGGGCCTAAAGAGAAATTTTGAGATGTGTTTACCTTTGATTAAAGAGAGATGAGCAAAATCTGTTAGTTTAAACTGCAATTTTGTGAATCTGATAATTTTGCATGTTCTCAATCCAAATAATAATCTTTCAAAATGTTTCTTGCTACAAAATCAATATGAGTGACTTACTCTGAATTAAGAGAAATCAAAGAACGGGATGTTATACAAACCATCTGAGTCACTGGTGAAACAAACTTTGTAAATTTGTTCAACACTGAGCTTGATAAATTAGAAGTTTGAGCTCTTGCCTTTTTGTCTCCCTTAATTTAAATTAATTTAATGACCCTGAAAGAAAATTTTTAATATGAGAAATTTCCTTACTAAACCACATTCAAGGTAGCCATAATTCTTGAAACAGATTCATTCAAAAATTCTTTTTAGGTCTTGATTTTTATGTTCAGAGTAAAAGTTTATTATCACTTTTGTTAAGGCAGGGATGGATTCTCTAAAATACTATATTGTTCAAATTACGCTGCAATATAGTCTGGTTTCAGCTGAACAAATCTATTTAAACCACACTCTTGTCTCACCTCTATTACTCACCAAGGATACTCTATATTTCCCATCAGCCCTCTTTAATTAACCAACTAACTATAGCCACCCCCTTCAAATTCTAAACTCCCCTCTAAACCCCTCATTACATTCTTTCTGTTCTCTTTTCATGTCTCATCCCCTAAACCGTCAACCAAGCCTTACACTCAGTCACTGCCTCCACTGCTCCACCACTCTCCTCTGCACCTCGATTTCTCTTCCATACCTCCTCTGCTCCTCTCCATTTCTCATCCAAGCTCCTCCCTTGCCAATTACAACCTCTGTTTCTTCACCTAAAATCCTAGCTCAATCACATATTTCTCCCAAACTCCTAAGACATCCTAAGAATACCTAGCTTTGTGTGTCAAGATCCCATTTTTTATTAATTTTATAGTACAAATTGTTAGCCTTTGGGTGGGGTTTTGGGGTTTTGGGGTTTTGGGG